TTCTCCATATCTTCAATACTTATTATCTTGACAATTAGTATATATAGAAGATTCTTTTCTTTTTTTTTTTGAGGCGGAGTCTCACTCTGCCGCCCAGGCTGGAGTGCAGTGCGCGATCTCGGGCTCGCCTGCCAACCTCTGCCTTCTGGGTTTACGCCCATTCTCCTGCCTCAGCCTCCCCAAGTATTCTGGGACAACAGGCGCCCGGCCACCACGGCCAGCTAATTTTTTGTATTTTTAGGTAGAGACGGGGTTTCACTGTGTTAGCCAGGATGCTCTCGATCTCCTGACCTCGTGATCCGCCCGTCTCGGCCCTCCCAGAATCCCTGCGGATTACAGGCGTGAGCCACGCGCCGCCCGGCCCAGTCCTCTTGCTGAGACGCGCCACTACACTCTTCTGCAGTGTTCTGTTACCGCCTAAGGGGTTCACCTTGGCCCTGCCTAGACAGAGTCAATTCTTCGAGACAGGGGAATTGTGATAGAGAAAGAGCAATTCACGCAGAACCAGCAGTGTGGGAGACCAGACTCCCTGAGCATGGGGGCGCAGTTTTAAAAGATAACTTGGTGGGTGGGGGTAAGTCAGTGAGCCAGGAGTGCTGATTGGTCAGGGATGAAATCACAGAGAGTCAAAACCGTCTTCCTGCACTGAGTCAGTTCCTGGGTAGGGGCCACAAGATCAGATGAGCCACTTTGGGCAGCCAAGGTGGGTGGATCACCGGAAGTCGGGAATTGGAGACCAGCCTGGCCAACATTATGAAACCCTGTCTCTACTAAAAATACAAAAATAAAAATAAAAAAATAAAATTAGCCAGGCGTGGTGGCAGGTGCCTGTAATCCCAGCTACTCAAAATTTTGGCTGAGACAGGAGAATCACTTGAACCTGGGAGGCAGAGGTTGCAGTGAGCTGAGATCGTGCCATTTACACTACAGCCTGGGCGACAAGAGCAAGACTCCGTCTCAAAAAGAAAAAAAAAAAAAAGATGAGCCAGTTTATTGATCTGGGTAGTGCCAGCTGACCCATCAAGTACAGGGTCTGCAAAATACCTCAAGCACTGATCACAGGAGCAGTTTAGGGAGGGTCAGAATCTTGTAGCCTCCAGCTGCATGATTCCTAAACCAAAAATTCTAATCTTGTGGCTAATGTTAGTCTAGTCCTCAGGTAAGAAGGAAGTCTGCTTTGGGAAAGGGCTGTTATCCTCTTTGTTTAAACTATAAACTAAGTTTCTCCCAAAGTTAGTTCAGCCTATGCCCAGGAATGAACAAAAACAACTTGGAGGTTAGAAGCAAGATGGAGTTGGTTAAGTTAGAGCTCTTTCACTGTCTCAGTCATCATTTTGCAAAGGCGGTTTCAGTTCTTCCTCTCTAATAAACTTTCCTTTTTTCAAACCTACACTGTTTGTATGTATGGTAAATTCATTTTACCAACCTGTGAGTTGACCACTTCCCGGTGCCACGGCTCTGACACCTTGCCAGGCACTTACGGAAAGATAATTGTAAGAATCTAATAGAATTTTAAATTTCCATGCCTTCCAACCCAGCAGTCAAACTTCCAGGAATTTATCCTACTAATATAATGGCACGACGATCTAAAGATATATTTGCAAGGATGTTCTCCACAGCCTTTATTTAATAAGATGTGGAAAGAACCTTAAATGTCTACTCAAAATTGTTGAATAAATCACGTCTACAAAATGAATAATGCGGACTTGAAAAAGAGTGAGGTAGCTCTATGTCACCAAACTGGAACAATGAAAGATAGCCACTATAAAGTATAAAAAGCAAGCTGAAGACTGTCTCTATGTTTGAAATTTTTCATAATAAAAAAATGAAAAAAAAATGGAGGACGATTAGATATATTGCCTTTTCATGAGTAAGAATCTCACAAGTCTTGGACAATTAAACCCCGCCTTCATCCCTCCCATCTCATCATATCTGACCTCAACCAGTTTCCTACCTACACTGCTTATATGCCCATTTGCTCTATATGACTCAGTCATTTCAAGATTGCTTCTGTTTTCCCTTCTTGATGTAAAAACAGTATTAAAAATGTATATTTAAAATTTGTTTAATTACATCCCATTATTACAGTTCATTTTTGCATATTCCTGTGTTGAAAATCCTTTGGTATAAATCAACATCCAAACTCAGTGTTATTCCACTTTTCTTGAACTGTAATCCTTTTTAAACAAGGAATATAGCCTTTCTTGTTTAGAGAATGTAAGCACATTCATAAATCTTGGCAACTTTGAAAGGCCATAACAAATTTGTGGTAAGAACTCAGATCCCCTTTATTACTGTAGTAAATAGGCAGATGAAATTAAGAGATTATAGTTTGTTTTCACTTTCCCAATTACTATCGCTTGAAAAATACTGGATATTTCATTACTATCCTATTGGGAGCCGGCAAACTACGGTCTACTACCTGTGTTGGTATGAGTCAAAACCTAAGAACGGTTTTTACATTTTTAAATGATTAGGGAGGGAGGGCCAGAATCCAAGGGGAGTATTTCATGACATTTGAAAACGTTATTAAATTCAAATTTTAGCATCCATAATAAAGTTTTATTGGAACACAGCCATGCTCATTTGGCTTTTGTTTTTGGAGACAGAGTATGGCTGTTGCCCAGGCTGGAGGGCGGTGGCCCGATCTCGGCTCACTGCAACCTCTGCCTCCTGCGTTCAAGCGATTCTCACGCCTCAGCCTCCCAAGCGCTGGGATTACAGGTGCGCGCCACACGCCCGGCTAATTTTTGTATTTTTAGTAGAGACAGCGTTTCGCTGTGTTGGCCAGGCTGGTCTCAAACTCCTGACCTCAGGTGATCCACCCGCCTCGGTCTCCCAAAGTGCTAGGATTACAGGCGTGAGCCACCGCGCCCAGCCTTCATTTACTGTTGTCTAATGATGTTTTCATACTACAAGAAGAAAGTTCAGTATGGACCACAAAGCCAAAAAGATGTCCTCTCTGGCTCTACAGCAAAGATTTGCCAAGCCCTGTTATATACTATTTGCGCTTCATAATTTTATAGTTTTACCTAGGCAGTCTCCATTTTTTCCTTCCATATTCAGCGTAAAATCCCCTTAATATCAGTCTCTAGGCAAGCTCATTCTTCATAATCCTTAGAATTGGACCTCCTCTTGTTAATTTCCTTAGTCTAATCACAATCCTCCTGGTTATTTACAAACCGAACGCCAGAAAGGAGGGTTATCAACATCTTAAGCGCCACAAATTAACAAATCAAAACCAAATCTCACTCTCCCTCCGAAGCCAAGGCTAAGGAGGCTCACTGCCCAGTTAGTGGCTTTCAAACTACCCATACAAGTGAGGCATCTTGTGAATTAGAACAAGTGCTGCTGCTAAAATCCCTAATGGATACATAGCAACGTGAAAAAAGGTATCAAATGTAATTTTCTCAAATTTAATCTTCAATTGTTGGCACAAAAAAAGGAACAGTAAAGGTAGACAACTGTAATTAGCATGTGTGATCCCAAATCTTTATACCTTAGATACTGGATATTTTCTGCAAGTAAATAGTTTCTGGCTCCCAAGATGAGAGGTTAAATAATGCAGGGTGTTTGTAAACAGCAGCACAACTTACACCGGAAATTAGGGCACTTTCTCACCAAGGAGAGTACATCAAAATTTGCTCATGTCTTTCAATCAATGTTCTCCAGGACTAGTGCTGGGGGCGGGGAGGCAGAGCAAGCTATCTTTTCTACCAGCCGTGTCACACCCCTCCTAGCACTAAACCCTCCTCCTCAGCCTCTTCACACCTCTACCCACTACTAACCCCTCCCCAGCCCCATCACCGCTTCCCAGGCCCCTGACACCTCTCCCAGCATACTCTTCCCGGCCTCATCACCTCACCCACTTCCTCCAAAATCACAAGACCTGCTAAGCTTCCAGCAGCAAGCGCGCAAAGCAGGGAGGCTGTAATGCAAAAGTCCGCAGTCCCTACACAAACACTATCTGCTCCTGCGGAGAAACTCAAGTCACAGCCCCAGAAGAAAGAACAGGCCTGGGCTCTCACCCAGTTAACGAGCGTTTATCCAGCGCACGTGTTGCGGTCGGACCCCATGCGAAGGAGCTAAGGACACAAAGGTGAGCAGCAGAGTCGCGGTTCCAGCTCTCTCCTGGCCCCCACTCCAGCGGAGTAGGTAGACAATTCCGGTAAACTTCGCCAAGCAGGGGCAGGACAAAGAGTATTTGAAGTCTACCCGGGGGAGAACTTACCTAATCCTTGAATGTTAAAAGGCTAAAACTCCACTAGTCGGAAGTGACGTGCCAGCTGAGCCCCGCAGGTCCGCCACGTAATTGGCCGCCGCCACAGCTAGCCACCCTCTCCCCGGACTGGCCCGAAGAGAGGAAAAGTGTGGAAGTCCACAAGCCGCCCTCGCCCCGCCCTCTTCGTCGACTTTCAGCTGCACCGGGGAGCGGCGGCGCCTGGCCAGAGCCGGGGCCTGGAGCCTGGACGGGACAGCCTCGCCGGCCGGGGCGCCCGTCCAGCGCCCTGCGGGCCATGGGCTTCAGCGCTCGAGCACGCGCATGCGCGGGCCTCTATCTCCAGAGGATTCCTCGGGTCACCTGGACGCCAGCATCTCAGCCACCTGCCCCTCTGGGTCCCTTCTTGTCCTTGATTCCTCCTGCTGGTTCTCATCGCCAGCCCTCCTCCACCTCCTCCTTCCGCAGCCACCGCTAGACCCCGCCGCTGCCGCCTGCCGACACCCCAGCTTCCACTGACACGAGCCTCGGCGCGGCTTCCGCTTCCGGCGAGTATTGTGTGTCGCGCCGCGGGGCGGGGGCGAGGGGAGGAGGAAGGAGGGAGGCAGCGCTCCGGCGGCTCCGCGCCCCGCACTCCCGGACCCGAAGCCGGGAAGGTAGGTGCTGTCCCGCCGCCGCGCCCGAGCCTGGGGCCTGCCCCCGCCGGCCGGCTCCGCAAGTCGCGTCCCAGCGCCCCGCGACTGCGTCACCGGCCCCCCGCACGTAACCACAGCTGCCTCCGCCCGCCTCGGGCCCGGGCGGACGTTTTGCCGCCCCGGCGACGTCAGCGCGTCCGGCGTTGCTTGGCTACCCCGCCGTTCCCCCGTCCCGCTGCTGCTCACCTCCCCGGGTGAAACTCTGACGCAGTCACCGCGGGTCTCAGCTGCGTCATAGCGGCGGGCATCCCACCTTCACGTCACACCTCTTCCTCACCTGGACACGCATCCCTCCCTACCCTGCTAGCCACGACGTTTCCTCTTTCCCCTCTCCAATCCCCCTGCCCCATATCTGGCGGAAGAAGATGGAGACAGGGGTGGGACAGAGTTGTGGACAACCTCTCAGGAGAGGGTCGCAAGGTGGGACCCTGAACAGTGGTTGAAACAAAATGAGATCGCCCCTGAAGTTTGCCCTTCAGCTGAGACACAAGGAGTAGAGGGAGACGAAGGACTAACCCAGAGGCACTCAAGGTCTCACTATGACTGTAGTTTAGAGTCCTCTCCATTTTTCCCTAACCCTTTCCCCATTTCTTTCACCACTTCTTTGCCAGTCTAGATCTGTCCTGGTGCCTTACTGTGCATACAGTTCTACTCATCTCAGGTGAGGGGACCACCTAATTTGTAAAAGACTGAGGAAGGGGTAGGGTCACCACAAGTCAAAGTTGGATTCCCACAGGTAGAGAGAAATCATCTGAACTTCTCTCCTATTGCTGACAGAGAAAATTCAAGTCCAAAGAAGTTATCAGCTCCTACTCCAAACACATTTGTGTGTGCCAACAATATATACAGGAACAATTGCTGTTAACCTACCTCATTACATGGCCACTTATCTCTCAGCACATAGATCTACCAAATTTCCTTTCTTCCAGTAGGTCCCTAGAGAAGGATGGGGGTCAGGAGGAGAAAGGGTTATGGGGATAGATACATCAACTTACCCATGGCTAAAAGTATCGACGTTTTAAGATGGAGTGGGGGACCAGCGTTGTGTTTTATAAATCTCTCTTATGCATTTCCAATTCTTCTGAGGCTGCACTTGAGGGAGATCTCATTGCCTCTTTTCTGTCTCTTAATTCCCAACCACTCCAGAACCTATTAGTTGGAGACACAGTATGCCCAGGATGTTAGTTATCAATAGCTATATTGAAAGATTCCAGTCACTATAAATAGACTTGTTCTCCTTACAAGAAGTTGTTGGCCTGAGCTCAGTAATGTACTATTTAATATAGTTGCCATAATTTATCAGTTTTCAGCAGTTCTGAGTGTCCAAATGAACACAATAGAAATGGAATGTTGCATGAAATATGTCATTCCAAGAAGAGAGCAGACTTCCTTTAGGCTAGTCTGATGGATAAAAGGAAGAATAATTTCAGATTTTCCTGGAAAGAGAAGGTTGCCTTTGCTTCATTCATTCCATTTGTTAGCCTTTAGAACACTGGTATCTAACCTTTTGAATGGGAGGACTCTTTTTACTTATCTGTGGTGGCTGGTAAAACAAAAATTATGCATGGACCTTTTGTGGTGGCTGATAGAACAAAAGTTATGCGTGGACTTTTTTTTTTTTTTAGCTTAGCAGCTGTCATTAGTGTCAATGTATTTTATGTCTGGCCCAAGATACTTTTTTTTCCAATGGGCCCAGGGAAGCCAAAAAATTGGATATTGTGATTTAGAAGAATGAGAGAACAGTGTCAGAGAATCAAGCTTAGACTCCAGTGGATTCATCATAAAGCCCTTATAACATTAAACTTTAAAGTATGCTTAATTTAAGAAATGTTAATATTTTTATGACATTTTTTACTTCTCAGATTCCTTTCTTATCTATTAGAAACGTATGTCAAACGAGGATACAGTGGTCTGGAACTATTGGTTCTAAGATACAAGTGGAATGAACCTGGATCAGGAGAAGTATGCTGAGCTAGAGTTGAAGGAAGCTTCTCTTTCTAACAAGAGAAAGCAGAGGTAAGAGACAAGATAGATAAATTGGGGGTTGTGTGTCAGTTTACTAACAAGAAAAAAAGATTGATGGCTGGGAGTCACAAGTTTTGGAAATGGAGAAACAAAGAGGTTGAATTGATTGAAAGAGAAGATGGAGAATAACAAGATTGGGCAAATCTGGAGTTAGGACTTAACAGGGATAAATGTTGGGCCAGGGATGTAAAAAAAACAAAAACAAAAAAACCCTCCAATTAATATTTTTATTTTCTCTGTCCTCTTCCCCACTCCCAAGTTAAATTATGGCAGAGACAAGTCTGTTAGAGGCTGGGGCCTCTGCAGCCTCTACAGCTGCGGCTTTGGAGAACTTACAGGTGGAGGCAAGCTGCTCTGTGTGCCTGGAGTATCTGAAGGAACCTGTCATCATTGAGTGTGGGCACAACTTCTGCAAAGCTTGCATCACCCGCTGGTGGGAAGACCTAGAGAGGGACTTCCCTTGTCCTGTCTGTCGAAAGACATCCCGCTACCGCAGTCTCCGACCTAATCGGCAACTAGGCAGTATGGTGGAAATTGCCAAGCAGCTCCAGGCCGTCAAGCGGAAGATCCGGGATGAGAGCCTCTGCCCCCAACACCATGAGGCCCTCAGCCTTTTCTGTTATGAGGACCAGGAGGCTGTATGCTTAATCTGTGCAATTTCCCACACCCACCGGGCCCACACCGTTGTGCCACTGGATGACGCTACACAGGAGTACAAGGTGGGGAAGCAGACACATGATGTCAGTGTGGGTAAAAAAGGAGGAGTGGCAGAGGATGAGATAGTCCCTAGGTAGAGATCTTAAGCTCCTACTACTCACTTTGTATTCTCAGAGCTGCATATGCAGGGGCACACAGTATGTGTGATCAGTTGTCCTCTAGCCTGAAAAAGAACAATGGTGAGAAGCGTCCTAAAATTTCTGTCTGACTTTGCAATACATATGAGTCTTATGGGTGAATATTATGAGTCTTATGGGTGAATATTGGTATGTGTGGTCTTGGAAGGTATCATATTTTTCATAAATGAATGAAACCACATGGAAAAGATTAAACTTAGGAGGAACTGAAAAGTCTCATTTCTTCATTCTGCCTGCCTGCTCAGAATGCTCCTTGTTTTCACATTGGTTATTGGGCATAGGTAATATCGCTTGAGACTGATACCTGCCAGACTAAGCTGAACCATTCTGTTGTTTGTAGCTTCTCCAGGTAATGGTTAATATGGCATATCGAGGCCGGGTGCGGTGGCTCAAGCCTGTAATCCCAGCACTTTGGGAGGCCGAGACGGGCGGATCACAAGGTCAGGAGATCGAGACCATCCTGGCGAACACGGTGAAACCCCGTCTCTACTAAAAATACAAAAAATTAGCCGGGCGGGGTGGCGGCGCCTGTAGTCCCAGCTACTCGGGAGGCTGAGGCAGGAGAATGGCGTGAACCCGGGAGGCGGAGCTTGCTGAGATCCGGCCACTGCACTCCAGCCTGGACGACAGAGCGAGACTCCGTCTCAAAAAAAAAAAAAAAAAAAAACATGGCATATCATTTAACTTACTGCTGAGACAAAGGAAAATGTTTGAATAAAGGGAAGAGAGATTAATGTGTTAGCATTTTATCATATACTTTGCTTAATTATGTTACCCTTAAAAACAAGGTTTCAGGTAACTTACAGTATAATAACCATGTTTTACAGTATAATGACCATGTTTTTATTTTAGGTGGATAGAGGTGGATGGGAGGACAGGTTTAAAGAAAAATACCAGGTTACAGAAGGTTGCTTTGATGGCAATAGGCAGTTGTCTCAGTAAGAAAGTGGAAAGAGTTGAGAAAGGACACAGAGTTGGTGACAGCTATCTCAAATTCAGTAAGAGGACAGTTGGGTGAGCAGAGAAGGTGATGTGGACAGACTGTAGGAAATTGACATCCCAAATGACAGGCAAGGAAGGAAGTCAGATCAAGAGGCAGTAAGATGGCTAAGAAGCAAATAAATGGTTTAAAACAAATGGTTTAATCTCTGAATGAGAAATGTACCAGTCAACCCCAAATGTCACCTCTCCCACTTCTTCCCTACCCCTCAGGAAAAACTGCAGAAGTGTCTGGAGCCCCTGGAACAGAAGCTGCAGGAGATCACTCGCTGCAAGTCCTCTGAGGAGAAGAAGCCTGGTGAGCTCAAGGTAAAGGCAGGCAATCCCATGTAGGCTGGTCTGAAGGGTATTTGTCTATGAGGGTATTAACTATACACTATTTAATCCACCAGTTCCAGTTCATTAGTAAAATGCAGTTCTTGGCCGGGCATGCTGGCTCATACCTGAATCCCAGCAATTCTGGAGGCCAAGGTGGGCAGATTGCTTGAGCTCAGGAGTTTGAAACCACCCTGGGCAACATGATGAAACCCTGTCTTTACTAAAAACAAAAAATTAGCCGGGCCTGGTGGCACGTACCTGTGTACAGGTCCCAGCTACTTGGGCGGCTAAAGCAGGAGAATTGCTTGAACCTGGGAGGTGGAGGTTGCAGTGAGCCGAGATCGTACCATTGCACTCCAGCCTGGGCAACAGAGCAAGATTCTGTCTCGAAAAAGAAAGAAAGAAAGAAAGAACAATGTAATTCTCTCAAAAATGATGGTATTTTATTAGGCTTGATTGTCATTAAACATTGTACTTAAATTACTTGTCATGAATTAAGTACTGAGGGATTTAAGAGATGAAGAACAGACAGAATATCTTACATCTGGTGAGCTGAGAGAGTTCGTGCCTCTTGGTCTCCTTTTTTTGTTAAAGCAGCAAAGGAGGCTTTCTGCTGAGAAGGCAGGGATGGGAGTTTCTTAGAGGACTTGAAGAGAGGAGAATGTGGAAGATTCACTGGGGAGAAAGGGAAAAGGAGCTGACCAAGAGTCTCAGAAGAACTATCCAATGACATTAGGACCACATTCTTAAAACTCAAGTAAGCTTAAGTATGCTAGATGATGTTGGTCCTGGAATGTTCTTCCCCTCCCCATCCTCCACCATAGGATCCTATTCATCTCTCAGACGGGATGAAAGCCACTTCCTATGCAGCCTTTCCTGACACTTCAGAAATTAATGTTCTTAATTTTCATACAATTTTGCACCTCTTTTATAGCATTGCCTTATTTTTACCATGGTATTTTGGTGTCTTGTCTTTCTTCTGTTGAACAGTGAACAATTATCATTTGTAGCAAAAATAACTAGAATTGAGTCCTATGCATTAATTCATTAGATATCCATGACATTCCGGATTTATAGGGTTGTTAGGGTCTTGAAGTTCAGGCCAAATTGGGATAAGTGAGACATAGAGAAGCTACGAGAAAGAGATAGAAGGAACTCCTGAGGCCATCTTTAGTAAGATGTAGGAGTAAACTTAGATACTCTTTAAGGTAGGTATTACTACCTTCAGCTTACACAGAAGGAAATGGACCTTGAGTAAGTGACTAGTCCAAGATCATGAAGCCAGTAAGTGGCAAAACCAGGAATGCTAGTTCTTCGTGAATCAGTAAATATTTGTTAAGCTCCTGGTTTAGGCCAAACCCTGTATTTGACACTGGGGAACAATGATGAGCCAAAACACAGTTCCTGCCCTCCTTGAGCTTAAAGTTAAGTGGAGAAAATTAGTAATGGCACAAAATGCACAGGTGCAAGTTCATAAGAAGACAACATAGAAATTTGGCCTCCTTAAAGGTTTCCCAAAGAAGTGATGAGCTTTTAAGAGTTGACGTAGGGATCACCAGAAGCTAAATACAAGTTTTGATTCATAGAAACATGAATTTTTAAATGAATGACAACATTTCATCAGAAAGCAAGTATTATTACCTTAGTGCCTTACACATTTTAGCAAAGTAAGCATTTGAAATTTTTAAAATTTGAACCAATTTTGGTTACAAATGTGAACTTTTAGTTTTTTGTTCTTTTAGAGGCCTTCTGAGAAATCTAAAAATATGAAAATGGTGCTTATCGCTAGTCATTAGCTTTCTTCTTCATGTTGGTCACCTTCTTGAAGGTAAAGAATAGAGATGGAAATATACTTTTTTAAAACCTTCTAAATGCTTAAACAGAAATGTCATGTGTTTTTTAAAATTGTAAATTGTCATGTCAGTGATCTCCAAAACTACCACCAACATTCCTCTTGTGACCATTTGAATTCTCCCTCCTTCTCCCTCATCAGACTCAATGCCCCTTTTAGAAATAATTTGTAATTATGCTGAACTGAAAATTGCAGGTAAAATAACCTATGTGCATAATTTTAAATTTTAAAGAGTCTATCATGTCCAAATATAATGAAACATAATTGATGATAAAATGTAGTATGTAATATTTGGGCATGACTACCCTGAAAGACTTTACAGTGTAGCTGGTTATATGCTTGCATCTATATGTGTCATTATCAGCAACACATAAATACAAATTCAGACTGAGATGGATGTGTGCCAATGTGATTGAAACACTAAGTAGCTTAGCTCTTGGTGATATGATTTTTCATAATAATAACTTTTGGTAAAGTTCTAAGTATAACAGAATATAATCTTGTGTTTTATTTAGCTATTGCTGAAAAATTTATGTATAGTAAAACCATGTAAGAATTACTCTGTGTTTATACTACATAAAATAGTATTCAAGCCCAGGCCTATGTTTTTGAATACCCAGCAGAACATTAGAAAATGTTGCAGGTCAGTTCACTATGCTGGATTGTCATTGGAGGAGTGCTAGCGTCATTGTCAGGAGCTTCCCCAACTATGCAAAGCAAGATGTGCCCATTTCCAGAATATCCTCAGAGGGTGATAACACCTTCATTAAGAACCACTGCCCTAAAATATAGAGTGAAAAAAAGAGAAGAGATTACTGGTTTATAAGAGGAAGAGCCTTTTTGCTTCCTATTTATCACAGTCATGAATGTTAAACTTGCACCCCTACCTAAACAAACACACATGCATACACACACACACACACACACACACATACATAAAGGCTGTGTTTTATTGAGGGCAAATGTGAGAATATGTTTTGTTCAGATGTACACTGAGAAGGCAGTGATGGAAAGTGAAGCAGCAAGTAGCCCTAAACTAGAAGAGCTAGTCAGCTTCTGCCAGGAACTAGCTTGAATCCACAAATGCCACGCTTGTCAGGCCCATTCTGGCTTTGCGTCCCCACCCACTCTTCACCCTCAGGCCTGCCTTTCGTTCCCTATCCACTTCCTTCTAGAGTCCCAGTCTCTGCTTCTCACTTTGCTTCACCATCAATCACATGATGCTTGGGGAATTCTTTCTTTAGGGAGATCACTATTTGTTGTAGTGTAGATGCAGAAGAGAGAATGTACTGATAATTCTCAGAAAGTGTTATGGCTGGTGTTTGAATCCTATATTACCAAATTTCAGGAATGTTAGAGGCTCAAGTCTATGTGCTGGCTTAAAGAAAGCATGTTTCAAATTTCAAGAAACTAAATTACTAACAAACTTCTGTAACCTGTTCCTGGGGTAGGAATTGCCAATTCTCTGAAGTGACTTGAAACAATTTAACAAGTTCAGCCCTGAAATCTACATAGGTATATTTTATAATAACCCATAGAATTCTTACTGATTCTTGTATTTTCACAGTTCTCTGGTTTTTATCTGGTGGATGTGTTGCAATATGCAAAAGATGACAATCTTATTTTTAACTTTTTAGTATTTGTACTTTCCTTTTCGTTTCGTTGTTTTTCATGTTTGTTTTGAGACAGAATCTCACCCAGGCTGGAGTGCAGTAGTAATCACAGCACACTAACTCAAACTCCAGGCAGGGTTCCAGCCATCCATCCTCTTGTCTCAGCTTTTTGAGTAGCTAGGACTGCAGATGTGCATTGCCACGCCCGACTAATTTTTTTTTTCTTTTTAGTTGAAACAAAGTCTCACTATGTTTTCTAGGTTGGTCTTGGACTCTTGGCCTCAAGTGATCCCCTCACCTGGGCCTCCTAAGCACTAAGTTTACAGGCATGAGCCACCATGCTCAGCCTGTACTTTCCTTTTCTCGACCGATTGAATTAACTAGAACTTTACAGTTGATAATAACACAGATATCTCTGATATCTGTAATAGTGCATGTCATCATATTATTGAGTTTTTTATCTTAAGTTAAAAAATATATATATGGCCGGGCGCGGTGGCTCAAGCCTGTAATCCCAGCACTTTGGGAGGCCGAGACGGGCGGATCACGAGGTCAGGAGATCGAGACCATCCTGGCTAACACGGTGAAACCCCGTCTCTACTAAAAACTACAAAAATCTAGCCGGGCGAGGTGGCGGGCGCCTGTAGTCCCAGCTACTCGGGAGGCTGAGGCAGGAGAATGGCGTGAACCCGGGAGGCGGAGCTTGCAGTGAGCTGAGATCCGGCCACTGCACTCCAGCCTGGGCAACAGAGCAAGACTCCGTCTCAAAAAAAAAAACAAACAAACAAAAAAAATATATATATATGTCTCCAGTGGTCTTCACTACCAAGTCATCAGTAGGGGAGTGATAGTGATGGAGCCATTCTTTACAGAAGGAAATTCCAGTGGAATAAAACATGAGTGTTCTGTTAAACCATTTTCTCTCATTTTCTTTCTTCCTTTCTGTCTGTCCGTCTTTCTGTCTCTTTCTGTCTTGTCGTTCTTGTCTTTCTTGTCTTTGTCTTTCTTGTCTTCCCTGTCTTGTTAAACCATTTTCTCTCATTTTCTTTCTTTCTTTCTTTCTTTTTTCTTTCTGTCTTTCTGTCTTTCTTTCTGCCTTTCTGTCTTGTCTATTTTTTGTAGAGTTGGGGTTTCACCATGTTGCCTAGGCTGGTCTCGAACTCCTGATCCCAAGCAATCCACCTCCCTTAGCCTGGAATTACAGGCATGCGTCACCACACCCAGCCTTTGTTAAACCATTTTCAGTGAAACTGGAAGTCTGTGTTAATTCATACATATGGTGGGTGAGAGAAAGGCTTCCTTATACCACACTGACCCTGCTGATATAACATCTTCCCTCTTCTCAGAGACTAGTGGAAAGTCGCCGACAGCAGATCTTAAGGGAGTTTGAAGAGCTTCATAGGCGGCTGGATGAAGAGCAGCAGGTGTTGCTTTCACGACTAGAAGAAGAGGAACAGGACATTCTGCAGCGACTCCGAGAAAATGCTGCCCACCTTGGGGACAAGCGCCGGGACCTGGCCCACTTGGCTGCAGAGGTGGAGGGCAAGTGCTTACAGTCGGGCTTCGAGATGCTTAAGGTTCGACCTTTGCCCCTGCATAGCTCCTCAGGCCGAGTGCAGTGTAGCTTTGCATAGGCTGTTTTGTCAGCCTGGGATACTCATTCTTCTGCTCTGCTTCCCTAAATCCCGTTCTTTCTGCCAGGTGTACTTAAAGGGTCTTTGCTACAGAAAAGCTGATCTGATTTCTCCCATCCCCTTCTAATCATTTTTGTGTTCTTATCTCTTGTCAGCAATTATGTGCTTAATCTGTTCCAAAGAAAAGATTCATTCTTTTGAAAGGAGGGAAGTCTAGCCTGCGTTAGTGAAAAACTATGCATTAAAAATTTTGTAAATGCAGTTACCATTACTTTTAAGTCCTGAAATTTGATTTATGTACTGCTGACAAAGGACAGAAACATAGTTTAAAGGATACAGGCATGCCTCAGAGATATTGTGGGTTCAGTTCCAGACCACTTCAATAAAGGGAGTATCTTGATAAAGCAAGTCACATTAATTTGTTGGGTTTCCTAGTGGAATAATAATCTTTTTGCTGGTGGAGGGTCTTGTATCAATATTGACTGATCAAGGTGGTGGTTGCTGAAGATTGGGGTGACTGTGATAATTTCTTAAAATAAGACAACAACGAAGTTTACTTTCGACTCTTCCTTTTATGAAAGATATCTCTGAGCATGTGATGCTGTTTAATAGCATTTTACTCACAGTAGAACTTCTTTGAAAATCTTTGAAAACCCACATTTGTAGTTACTTACACCACTGAAGTCTTGAACCTCTAAAAGTCATCCATAAGGGTTGGAATAGACTTCTTCTAAATGTCTGTTAATATTGATATTTTGGCCTCTTTTCACAAATCACGAATGTTCTTAATGGCATCTAGAATGGTGAATTCTTACCAGAAAGCCTTCAATTTACTTTGCCCAGTTCTATCAGAAAAATCACTATTTATAGCAGCTTTATGAAATATATTTATTAAGTAAGACTTGAAAGTCAAAATTACTTCTTGATCCATGGGCTGCCAATTGGATGTTGTATTAGCAGACATGAAAACAACTTGAGTCTGATTTTACATCTCTATCAGACCTTTTGGGTGATCAAGTGCCTTGTCAATGAGCAGTAATATTTTGAAAGGAATCTTCTTTCTGAGCAGTAGGTCTCAACTTAAAATTTTCAGTGAAGTGTTGAGCACAGTGGCTTATCCCTGTAATCCTAGCACTTTGGTAGACCAAGGCAGGTGGATTGCCTGAGGTCAGGAGTTTGAGACCAGCCTGGCCAACATGGTGAAACCCCATCTCTACTAAAAATACAAAAATCAGTTGGGCATGGTGGCGGGCGCCTGTAATCCCAGCTACTTGGGAGACTGAGGCAGGAGAATCACTTGAACCCGAGAGGCAGAGGTTGCAGTGAGCTAAGATCATGCCATTGCACTCCCGCCTGGGTGACAAGAGTGAAACTCCATCCCCCAAAAAAAAATTTCAGTAAAGGCTAGGCACAGTGGCTCACATCTGTAATCCCAGCACTCTGGGAGGTCGAGCCAGGAGGATTGCTTAAGGCCAGGAATTCGAGACCAGTCTGGGCAATATAGCAGGACCTCGTCTGTACAAAAAGTAATTTTTTTTAATTTAAAACATTCAGTATACCATGCTGTAAACAGGCTTTGTTGTTCCATTTCTAGAGCACAGGGGAAGTAGATTTAGCATAATTCTTTTTTTTTTTTTTGAGACGGAGTGTTGCTCTGTTGCCCAGGCTGGAGTGCAGTGGCCGGATCTCAGCTCACTGCAAGCTCCACCTCCCGGGTTCACGCCATTCTCCTGCCTCAGCCTCCCAAGTAGCTGGGACTACAGGCGCCTGCCACTGCATCTGGCTAATTTTTTGTATTTTTAGTGAAGACTGGTTTTCACCATGTTAGCCAGGATGGTCTCGATCTCCTGACCTCGTGATCCACCCGTCTCGGCCTCCCAAAGTGCTGGGATTACAGGCTTGAGCCATCACGCCCGGCCAGCATAATTCTTAAGAGTCTTGGGATTTTTGAAATGGTAAGTGAGCACTGGTTTCAACTTAAACTCACCAGCTGCCCTTGCTTCTAATAAGAGAGTCATCCTGTCCTTTAAAGCTTTGAAGCCAGGCATTGACTTCTCTCTAACTGTGAAAGCCCTGGATAGCACCTCCTTCAATAGAAGGCTGTTTTGTTTACATTGAAAATGTGTTGTTTAGTGTAGCCACCTTCATCAATAATCTTGGCAAGATCTTCTGGATAACTTGCTGCAGCTTCTGCATCAGCACTTGCTGCTTCTCCTTGCACATTTTTGTTACAGAATGGCTTCTTTTCTTGAACCTTTTGCCTTCAAACTAATACCTAACTTTAAACTTTTCTTCTGCAGCTTCCTTACCTCGCTCAGCTTTCATAGAACTGAAGAGAGTTAGAGCCTTGCTGTGGATTGGGCTTTGGCTTAAGAGAATCATGTGATCTTATATCCAGATCACTAAAATTTTCTCCATCTCAGCAATAAAGCTGTTTCACTTTCTCACCATTCATGTGTTCACTGGAGTAGCACTTTTAAGTTTCTTCAGTAACTTTTCCTTAGCATTCACAGCCTGGCTTGCTGTTTGGCACAATAGGCCTAGCTTTTAGCCCATCTTGGCTTTCAATGTGCCTTTCTCACTAAGCTTAAACATTTCTAGGTTTGATTTAAAGTGAGAGACATGTGACTCTTCTTTCACTTGAACACTTAGAGGCCATTGCAGGATTATTAATTGATATAATTTTAATATTGTTGTATGTGTCTCAGGGAATAGGGAGGCCAGAGGAGGTGGAGAAAGATGAGGGAATGGCTGGTAGTGGATCAGTTAGAACACATAAAATATCATATTTATCAATTAAGTTGTTTGTCTTATATGGATGCAGTTCACAGTGCCCCAAAACGATTACAATAGTAACATCAAAGATCACTGATCACAGATCATACTAGATATAATAATGAAAAGTGTGAAATATTGTGGGAATTACCAAAATGTGACACAGAGACACGAAGTGAGCACATGCTGTTGGAAAACATGGTGCCAGTAGACTTGCTCAACACAGGTTGCCACAAACCATCTAGCTGAAAAACACTCAGTGTTAACAAAACACAATAAAATGAAGTGCAATAAAATGAGGTATGCCTGAAATTATGTTTAAATAATATATTGCTTTTGTTATGTATATATCAATAATACCTCTAAAATATTTGAAATACTTTGTTCTCTTCAGTAAATGAATGGTGTTAGCAAAACTGTAGGGAACATATTTTTTATCTTAGAGATTAGATTACCAGCATTTGAATCAGTGAGGCTTCATTGTACACTTATTTTTGTGTTACGTGTTGCTTGGTGTTTGTTCCTGTGTCCTTTCATGTATGTGTGTTCTGCCTTCCACATTAAACTGGGAAATCCTTGTGGGACAGAGATTTGTCGTCTTTGTCTTCTGGATCCCAAATATTCACAAATCAGTATTAGCACACAGTTATTAATGTGTTTATTCTTCCTTTTTTTTTTTTTTTTTTTTTTTTTTTTTTTTTTTGAGATGGAGTCTTGCTCTGTTGCTCAGGCTGGAGTGCAGTGGTGCGATCTTGGCTCACTGCAACCTTTGCCTCCCGGGTTCAAGCAATTCTTCTGCCTCAGTCTCCTGAGTAACTGGGATTACAGGCACACACCCCCACACCCGGCCAATTTTGTATTTTTAGTAGAGACAGGGTTTCACCATGTTGGCCAGGCTGGTCTTAAACTCCTGACCTCAAGTGATCCACCCGCCTTGGCCTCCCAAAGTGCTTGGATTGCAGGCGTGAGCTACTGTGCCTGGCCAGTTATTAATGTTTATTAACTAATGCAAGACAGGGAATACCAAACCGTAACAGGAATGTGTGATTTGTTCCTATGCCACCAGTCTGGAACTCTATACTGATCCTCAAGGAGACTGAGATATGTGGTTGGTACTTGGGGGACCAGAGTAAAGAACTGTCACAATCCCTGTCCCCGGTAGGGAGCTCCCAGCATCCTTGAGGAGCAAAGACAAGCATAAAAGAAATCATTTGGAAGTGATATAAATGACGAGGCTTCATGATGACCGAAAGTTGAAAGTAGGGATTAGGTTGGGAGAAGTGCACTTAGGTCCCCCTGGAGCTCTTCTTGCACTGTGTGACCCTCAGTTTATCCTATGCCTATTTTATAGCTGTGGAACTTTTGGGAGGAGGGGGAACCTTTTGCCTTCAGGACCACTGAATACCAGGACCAATACTGCTTTCTTTTCTCCTTCCTTCTAGGATGTCAAAAGTACCCTGGAAAAGTAAGTGATTGTTGTATCTCTTTGAGTGAGTTAGGTCCTGGCTTAGAGAGGAGTACAGTCAAGAGTTTGGGTTGGGGGTAAGGTTGGGAAAGTCATGTAGTGTCTGAGCAGGGTATGGGAGAATGTTCATTATGCCCATGATGCCAAGTAGAGAACAAATTATTGGGAAGAACAATCCCTTTTCCCCTTTGAACATCAGGACTTCTTGAGAAGGAGAATGATAAGGCAGAACCAGATTCTGCTTGTGCCAGTGGGTGGAATTATGTCCAAACAAGATGGAAGGAGGAAGGGGTTGGGAGAACAGGGAGGGCAATCATCCATTTGCATGAAATATAGGAATATTCCTAGAAAGTTTAGAGGCTCATTCTCAAAATGAGGATCTGTCCACGGGATCATAAAGCTCTCCTTGGATTAGTAAAAGAAAGCAACAGGTGAGCTCTTCAGGGAGGAGGAAGAAAGTGGAAAGATGGAGAATTTTCATTTCTCCCTAAAGATGTTAACATCTGAATAGTCACTTGGCTGGAGCTTCTCCCTAACCCTGCCCTTTCTTCCCCTATCTCCCTATCCCTCCTAGATGTGAGAAGGTGAAGACCATGGAGGTGACTTCAGTATCCATAGAGCTGGAAAAGAACTTCAGCAATTTCCCCCGACAGTACTTTGCCCTAAGGAAAATCCTTAAACAGCTAATTGGTGAGTTGTTCCCAAAAGGAAACTAGAAGGAACCACTAGAGAGAAGAAAGCTTTTAGGTCCTGCCTTATATGGGTTTCAGTTATCTCATCTCTCACTTTTCTTACTCCCACCAACACCTACCCCTTTATCTGGCTTTTAGTCTCACCCTGAGTCACAGAACTTGGAGTGAGAGGAAGCCTTAAGTGTTACCTACTCTTAGGTGCATACTTTTTCAAGGCCCAGAAAGGTTAAATAATTTGCCAAAGATCGGGTAGAGTGATTATATAATTTACCATGTAAACTTGCATAACCTTGAATGGCCGGGCGCGGTGGCTCACATCTGTAATCCCAGCACTTTGGGAGGCCAACACTGGTGGGTCACTTGAGGTCAGGAGTTTGAGATCAGCCTGGCCAACATGGTGAAACCCCATCTCTACTAAAAATATAAAAATTAGCCAGATGTGGTAGTGGGCGCCTGTAATCCCAGCTCCTCTGGAGGCTAAGGCAGGAGAACTGCTTGAACCTCGGAAGCAGAGGTTGCAGTGAGCTGAGATCGCACCACTGCACTCCAGACTAGGGGATAGAGTGAGACTTCATCTCAAAAAAAAAAAAAAAAAAGAAAGAAAGAAACTGAAAGGGAGTGTCATTATATTAAGGTGAATATGCAGGGATAAACAGTCATAAACCAGGCCAGTGACACATGGTCACCCTATCCCTAGACCATATGCTGTCTTGCTCTGCATCCTTAACATTTTCTGTTTTTTCTGCCTCTCAGACTACACCTTGTACTTCTCTATGTAGTTAGATAAATGATAATATCAGAGGGAGATGAAGAGAGGACCAGGCGGGAACCTACATTACCAGCCACTGCAGACTCAAGAGATTATTGTTTACTTTAGGGTCAGTTTGAGAAGTGAGCCATTGCTTTCTCCCCTCCCTTAGGTGACACCATGGATTGAGAAAGTTAACCAAACCGTGTTGTTCTGGGGACCTTTAAGGGACCAGGCTCTGTAAAGGCAGGCTGGAAGAGTGAGGCAGGGGCATTTAGCTATTCCCATCCTCATCTAGCTCCCCACTCTGGCTTCTCCCGCCAGCGGATGTGACCCTGGACCCTGAGACAGCTCATCCTAACCTAGTCCTGTCGGAGGATCGTAAGAGCGTCAAGTTCGTGGAGACAAGACTTCGGGATCTCCCTGACACACCAAGGCGTTTCACCTTCTACCCTTGCGTCCTGGCTACTGAGGGTTTCACCTCAGGTCGACACTACTGGGAGGTGGAGGTGGGCGACAAGACCCACTGGGCAGTGGGTGTATGCCGGGACTCCGTGAGCCGAAAGGGCGAGTTGACTCCACTCCCTGAGACTGGCTACTGGCGGGTGCGGCTATGGAATGGGGACAAATATGCGGCCACCACCACACCTTTTACCCCTTTGCACATCAAAGTGAAACCCAAGCGGGTAGGCATATTCCTAGACTATGAGGCCGGCACACTGTCTTTCTACAATGTCACAGACCGCTCTCATATCTACACCTTCACTGATACTTTTACTGAGAAACTTTGGCCCCTCTTCTACCCAGGCATCCGGGCTGGACGGAAGAATGCTGCACCACTTACCATCAGGCCCCCAACAGATTGGGAGTGACAGGTTGGGATGTGGGAATAATTGGGGTGAGGCAAGGTCAAGTGCTACGGGCCTCCTTCCTGTGTCCTGCTGGAACGTCTTCGTGTCCACCTAGTTCCAGTCCTGAATCATCATGGAGAAACACCTCGGTTTCTAGGATGGTTTTGTGTGGAGGGGGAGGTAGGACTGGGCTGGATGAGACAGCACAGCTGTGACTCCCTCCTAACTGTCAGGGTGGGGAGCTGGTTCCCAGACGATTGTCTACCCTGAAGTCCATCAGGTTTTCTGTTGCACAAGGACGGGTTGGAAAGGAAGGAGAGACTTTTCCAGAAACAAAATCTGTGAGGGTCTGACTTGCTCAAACCAGAGGAGGAAACAGAAACCCCTGCACATCTTTTTAGGGAGTTCTTTGACCCAGGATAGTCTTGCTTCTTGAGGTAGATTACAGGGGTCTGTGTACCTCTAAATTCAAGAAAGATGAATGACAGATGCTCTCATGGGTCTAGATGTTGAGGAGTTTTTCTGAGGGCAGAGATTGGACATCAACAAGGCTAGAAGGAAGGTCAGGGAAGTGGGCTAAAGGAATAGATTCCTAGAGATTAATGAAAGGGAGGGAGGTTTCTTTGGTCTTCTATTTTAAAGGTAAGATTGCCATTATGGGTAGGACTGACCAGAGGTGGGAATGTGGTGAGAAGGAGAGGTTGAAAGGAAAGCAGAGAACCCAGGTCCCTGCCTCAGCCTTCCGCAGAGTTGGCTTATTGCCTGCCTCTTTATGCCAATAAGTCAGTCACTTTGCTCCTCTCCAGGGGCAAGGTGGAAGAGATCCTGCAAGACACATCTATCCTCTCACGGTGTTCCCAAGGGAACTTGGAAAGGAGAGTCAGGTATTAGAGGAAAGAGAAGGGTATTTGTATCCAAAGCCCTGGCCTTAAAGAATGTTACTAAGTAGCTACCCCCAAATTGTCAGCCTTGTTACCTGGCCAAGGTGTCCAAGCCAGAAAGGAAGAAAGGTAGTGGAGTCTTTCTCACCCTAAGACAGTGGGAGAGGGTGGTACATAGGGAAGGGCCAGATAGGCAACTTCCTTTGGCCTGTGTGCATCTGGCCTGGAACTGGTGTTAACAAAAGCCAGGTTTTTGCTTGTTTGTTGCCATCCCTCACCCTTTGCCATTTCCCTTTTCAGAGAATGTAAATGATTTTCATGTTAGGCCAAAATAAACAACTTATAGGGTACATATGTTGTCATAAAAGGTAAAAGTGATGCATGCCAAACCAAACTAAACCAATTTGGATTATCTGCTGTTCGGGTAATCTTCACAGAAATGACTGAGAGAAGAATCTGCAGTTTATTGAGGGCATTTCAGTTCCTCCTACCACCTCAACAGGACTTTGTCCAGACTCTCCTCCTCTTACCTTTGTGCCTTGACTGTGGTTCTTTGTGGCAAGATACTTTGGTTGGTTAAAATAATATGGAACAAAGGATCCACTGAAGTGATCTCTGTGTTGTGTGGTAATTTGGTGACAGCCTTGTACTGATGTGTAAGAATCACTGGGTGTTCACATGCATGTTCCTGGGTCTCACCCTTAGTGGTTAGTCAAGGTCTGGGGTGGGCCTGGGCATCTACAGTTTATTTATTTATGAGACAGAGTCTCACTCTGTCACCCAGGCTGGAGTGCAGTGGTGTGATCTCAGCTTACTGCAACCTCCGCCTCCCAGGTTCAAGCGATTCTCCTGTCTCAGCCTCCAGAGTAGCTGGGACTATAGGCATGCTGTACCACACCCGGCTAATTTTAGTAGAGACAGGGTTTTGCTATGTTGGCCAGACTGGTCTCGAACCCCTGAACTCAAGTAATCTGCCTGTCTCCACTACCCAAAGTGCTGGGATTACAGGTGTGAGCCACCGCACCCAGCCTACATCTACATTTTAAACACACCTCTCTCATTTGAGTCTGAGGACCCTTGTGAAACTAGTTCCAGAGGAGGTTTCAGCCTGTCCTTCCTCCCAGCTGGAGCCCTGCTTGTCTGCCCCCGCCTGGCACCGGGTCTGAGAGTGGAGAGAAGTCTTATCCTCTCCTGACTTATGCTGCCCTCCCCATCTCAGGGTTCATTCATCTTCTCCAATTCACGTCCCTCTGCTTCTCACTTCAGTAACTGATAGTCACTGTGAGTCACAGGACACCAGACAGAAGAAATGAAAGATAGAAGAGGTCAGAGGGAGGGGTGTGAGGTGAAGTTTCAGGGACAGGGGATGCTGTTGACAGATTTCTGTGCTGTACCTAAGCCTAGAAACCATTCACTCAGAAAGTGAAGATCACCGACTGTGTGTCCAGCACTGCATAACAGGAAGTGTGTTTCTTTGGTAGGTGGAATAGTAGGAGTAAACTGCTTTCTGAGGACCAGGAGTCCTTTTCCCTCCCTCCAGCACCCTTATGATCCTTCCCACTTTCACCCCCACTGGCACCAGTGCTTTTTTTTTAAATGTATTACCTCTGTGCTGTCCCTCTGTAGATCTTACAGGCATCTATCTGCCTCTGACTTCAGGAGAGTAGAGCAGAAGCTCTAGCTGGGTATAAATTGCACACAACCATCTCCCTTACCTAGCTACATAAAGAGACCAGCCTTCTGTCCTGAAAATGTCTAGCCGATGTAAGATCCTCACCTGCTGCACTAGGTCTCTACGTGATATAATTGGTCATGAGCTTGAGGAAGACAAAAGCACTGAAAACTCATAAAGGGACCCTGGGCATGGATTGCTGGGGATGGATTTCGGAACAGATGAGTCTGTGAGGCCTGGGGGAGGCGCCCGAGGGCGCGGGGACTACGCTTCCCAGGAGGCCTCGCGCGGACGCCCGGGCGGGGCTGTGCGAGGGGCGGGTCTGCGGGTGGCCCTGGAGCGCGGCGCTGATGGCGGGGTCGGTGAAGGACCGCGAGGCCTTCCAGAGGCTCAATTTCCTGTACCAGGTGAGTCTGCGACAAGGGCCCCAAAGGGGACGGTGCTTGGCGCCCCAGAGTGACCGCTCCCCTCCCGCAGGCCGCCCATTGTGTCCTTGCCCAGGACCCCGAGAACCAGGCGCTAGCGAGGTTTTACTGCCACACTGAGAGGACCATCGCGAAGCGGCTCGTCTTGCGGCGGTGAGACATTCACGGGGTCGGCGGCGGGCGGGACGCGGGAGGAACGCGAGAGGGAGCGGGGACGCCGGACCACTGTCCTCCTCCGCCCCCAGGGACCCCTCGGTGAAGAGGACTCTCTGTCGAGGCTGCTCTTCCCTCCTCGTCCCGGGCCTCACCTGCACCCAGCGCCAGAGACGTGAGTGCTCCAGCCGAGGTGGACGATTGCAGAGCATTGGGGGCGGGGCGGGGGGAGAGGGCCCACTGGAGGCCAACAGCGCCTTTCTCGCTCTTGATGGATGTTGGGTGTGGGATTCGCAGGAGTCTTCCTTCTTTGGGTTTGAATTAAGTTGCTAACTTCACTTGCACAAAGTAGGATTTGGGCTTGGCTTTTTTTCTTTCCAATGTGGGCAGTAGAGAATAGCTGTTACTTTAAGAGGCATCCCCACCCATGCACAATAACAGATGTTATTTGGCTTTGTGGATGACATGATTCCCATCACCATTCATCACCATTAAGCAAATACTTACTTTCTAAAATGTGTCAGGTACTGTGCTAGATTCATTATTCTCATTGAAATTATGGATTGATGGGACAGACTAAGAAACAAAATGGTGTAGAAAAAAATTAACTGGGGGAGTAGAATGCTCACTTACTCATGCCAGTGGTGAAGTTCATGATAAGCAAAGGGAGTGAGAGATGGAAATTCTAGGCATGTGTGAAGACTCTGAGACAAGAGAGCTTGTGGTGCTGTCAAGGAAATGAGAGTTCAGGAGGCTGGAGTTTGAGATAGGAGGGCAAGACATGAGACTGGAGAGGGGAACAGGCCGGTTCTTGAAGTCTAGTTAAGGAGTTTGAACTTTATCTTAGCGGGTTCCAGGAAATTGATGGAGCTTATGCCAGGGCCTGACACCATCAAATGTGCATTCAAATTGGGGGTGTGGTGGGGGAGCGGGGATACCTACTGAAAAACACTGGAGGCAAAACTGGCAGCAAGAGACCGTTACTTCTGAACCTGGACACGCTTTTTCCCATGTTCACCCTAGGCTGCAGGGGACAGCGCTGGACAGTACAGACCTGCCTAACATGCCAGCGCAGCCAACGCTTCCTCAATGATCCCGGGCATTTACTCTGGGGAGACCGGCCTGAGGCCCAGCTCAGGAACCAAGCAGGTGAGAGATGAGGGAGAAAATGGAGGACACCTCAGAGGATCGGGACAACGGAGAACATAGAGTGAAGAGGACCCATGGACAGGTTCTGGGTTGGTGTGAGAGGTACCACAGTCAGAAAACTAATTCCGCTCCTCTGATTCTGCTCATTTACCCAGATTCCAAACCACTACAGCCCTTGCCAAACACAGCACACTCCATTTCAGACCACCTTCCTGAGGAGAAAATGCAGATTCAGGGTTCCAGTGACCAGTGATGGATTCACCTAGTCTCCCAAATAAAGTTTACTTGTTTTACATTCCATGAGTCTGTTCTGTGGGTACTTCAACTCTTAATTCCCTTTTCTTCTGTTTCTGTCTGTGCTTCTTGGTCACCTTTGTAATCCCACCATGCGGGGAGATCATGATTTCCATAGACTACTTGGCCTCACTCAGCAGCTTGCATTTCCAAGGCCATGCCCCCAGTTCCCTATCCATGTCCTGAGCCACCTTAGGGCATTCCATGTTTGGGCAGCCATAACTGCTGACTGAAGAGCTGGAGAGAATGATGCCACTGCTGCTGTTTTTAAACAAGGGGAAAAATATGGGGCAGCAGAGAATGTTCATATCCTCTAGGCCCATTCAGAGTCAGAAAAGACTCAAGTCTTTTCCCAATCTCAAAGTTATCTTTAATAAAATTCTAATAAAGAAATGGCCCACACCTGAACTAACAAAGTCAAAGGTGCTAACAAAGGACACCAACAGACATTTCGCAATTGTGTCCCATAGGTAAACTCTCAGAGTTTTCTCAATAAGCAACTAAAATGTTTTCTTCCATATCCCTAGAAAGCCTACTGAAGTACAGAATTCCTAGACTGACCTTTTTGCTAACTGCCAGCTAATCAGGTTATGCCAAAAGCGTACAAACCAAATTTACTATTCCCAGAATGCAGTTTTATTTCTCTTACAAACCCTGTGTTTGCTTATCAATTGCTGTATAAAAAAATCACTTCATGTTGGAGCTTAAAACATAATGATTTATTTCCTCTGGTTCTGTGAACTAGGAATTCTGAAAGACTTTGACTGGGTGGTTCTTCTGTTCCATATGAAATCAGCTTACATACCTGCATTTAGCTGGTGTCTGGTAGGTGGTCTGGAAGACCCAAGAAATTTCACTCGCATGTTTAGCACCTCATTGCTTCTCCAGGTATCCTTGCTCCCTAGCTAGCTTTGATGTTCTCACAGCATGGCTGTCTCGGAGTAGTTGTATTTCTTACATCCCCTCTGGCTTCTGCCAAAGCATCCCAATATGTAAGTGTTGGGCGCAGTGACTCATGCCTGTGATCCCAGCACTTTGTGAGGCCAAGGCAGGTGGATCACTTGAGTTCAGGAGTTTGAGACCAGCCTGGCCAACATGGTGGAACCCTGTCTCTACTAAAAATACCAAAAAATTAGCAGGTGCATGTAATTCCAGCTACTTGGGAGGCTGAGGCAGGAGAATCACTTGAACCCAGGAGGCAGAGTTGCTGTGAGCCAAGATTGCGCCGCTGACTCTTATCAGATACATGATTTGCAAACATTTTCTTTCATTCCATGGATTGTCTTTTTACTCTCTTGATAGTATATTTTGATGCATAAAAGTTTTTAATTTTCATGATCTTGCAGCTACTTCCTGAAGAACCGAACTGTCTCTCTCAGACCTTTTCTTTTGCCTCCATCCTGATTCTTTTTGGAGCTTGTTCTAACCCTGGCCCTGCTCAGTGTGACCTTGACACTACTTAATTAGGACCCCCTCACCTCCTTTCAGACCTGGTGCCCACAACTATAACCTGCCTCACTCTGCTTTGAAAAAGGAAAATGTTCCCCCTGGACTCTTAGAGTAGATGTTGGTGTCTGGGTTTCTCTTCCTAAAATCCTTTCCTTCTTAGGGCGATCAGTGAGCCCTGTTGAATGGCCTATGGAAGGGAAATGAATGTTCTAAATTTCCTCTGACCCTTTTCTTCAGATCCCCAAAGGTACTCCCCATCAGCACCCACTATGACCCCATCTCTGACTGTAATATCACCCTGAGGTGCTGGGCCCTGGGCTTCCACCCTGCAGAGATCACACTGATCTGGCAGCAGGATAGGAAGGACATGGAGCTTGCAGAGACCATTTTATCTTTTTGACAATGTTTTTTAAGCTCTGTGTACTATATATAAATCTAATTCAGTGTTTCAGACTGTCATAGATTATGCT